CGTCTTGGTAATGCAAAATTAAACATTTTATATTATTACTATGGGGTTTGTGATAGACTTACCTCCATGTGGTGCACCCTGGACAACGTATACTCATACGGCAAAAAGGTCTATTAACTAGCAGTTGACTTCTGACTTCAAACTACCATAACCCCACTGTATGTCATATTCGACTACTTTCACAGTACTCATCTCACCTTTTTTCTACCTTTGTGTCTGTCTGTCTCCTTTACATCTTTGAAACACTCTTCTTCTCCCCCCCCCCCATCCTCTTGAATTTTTTACACTTTGATGTTCCTTCCCCTCTGTGAGGCCTGAAATCAACTAAAGGGCTAATGATAACAATCAAAACGCCTGCCATTTGATATAATAATAATATTATTACTATTAATCTTGTTATTGAAAAATGGAAAAATTCTCTGAAGTATCAAATTTGTAATCATTTTTACTCAACATATTTAGTCGGTTCATTTAGTTTCGTCATCACGACTGCATCTGTTTACCAGCCCTTCATGAATCATTCAATTAACAGATTTTTGGACTCCTAATCAAAAATCTAAACTGTACCGTAGGACTCAAAATACGAAATAAAAAAATTTTAATGAGCAAAAATGTTTTTTGTTTATAAACCAAAATGATTTTAAGTATATAGCCGTCCCAGAATTACTACGAGAAGTATTACCTAACTTCCATTTTGTCGATATTATCACTTCAGTTTCAACATGAATAACATGAATCACTTCGTAATTAAATAAAATTTATGATTAAGTGGTTATACCTCAAGAGACTCCAGTCTAGATGCTATTTTCTTCTTTTGGTCAACAAGCCTTTTGTGATCATTGACAGTACGTCTGTTCTCTTGTTCTGTCAGCTTGATGAACTGTTCCAAATCACCGATTTCCCTGTCAACTTCAAAGTTAAGTTGTTCAGTGAGCTTGCGTTCATTAAAGATGAGAGCCAAATGGTCTTTCAACTTGGTATTCTTCTCCTCGTACATTTCAAGACTATCTTTCGTTTCAGCAATCTTGGCCTTTGTTTCAGCTAACTAGATGCCAGTAAAAAAATATCTTTGAAATTTATTTTTTTTAAATATTCTAATTATTAGGCCAAAAATTAAATTTAAGGACTATACGAGCGAATTTTTGTAAGAAAATGTCGTACAATAATGGTTTTAAACAGATTTATCCTGAATATAAACTGAGAATAAGTGTTCATGAAAATGTAAAAGTAAGTTTATATGCATAATGATCTTTTGACTAAATAAAAGCTGATTTCCATGAATATCAACTTTCCAATGGTGAATTAAGGGATGGAAAGAGATATTATGAGAATAAAAACATTTCTTTTCCTAAAAATGTCACTTTAAGAATGCAAATTTGTAGCTAGCGATGGCCATGCATATTTGTTATAAAAATTCATATGCATCATCATTCGTTTACTATTACTGTAATATCTGAATATCTTTTCAATTTTGTTTTAATAATGACCTATATACTTCTTTAGATAAGTTTAATGGACTAAGATAAATGCGCGTGTACTTAAACAATACCCTTTAAAATACATTAAAAGTAGGGTTTCAAAACACTCCTTAAGAATAAAATCAGGTTGAATTATAATTTTAAAAAAAATTTTGAAATATTTTGCATTACCACTTCAAGAAATTTCATATTTTCCTTTGATGCAATGGGAAATGCAAAGGATGATCTCCATCCAGTCTCCAAAAGTGCCTCTTTAATTAATTCCGCCTCCATGTCTCGAATTTTCTTATTTTAAGTATTTATTCCAATTATAGAACGTAGTGACTTATCACATACGTGAAAAGTGAGGCGATATCAACTAGTAAAGTGAATAAATTTGTCATCGATCCTCTAGCTAAACAGCTGTTAAATGTATGATCATAATTAGAAGAAATTAATTTAATAACCTGAATATATTGACAGCATTTTAAAGTCATTTCCTTTCAACTCTAAGCCAAATATTGTCGGATATCTTATTTGAATTCGTAACTTAGTTTTTTCATTGGAATTAATAATTTAAATATTGAGAAAAGGTGAAAGCAAAGCTCTAGCACATAAATAGCATGTTCATGGGTAAATAAATTGGTTTCAGAATATACTTAAATAATTATGCTTCTATTGTCACTAAAATACAAAAGATATAGCTTCGTATTTGAAAAGTAGATATTATACTTTGATTTTATTTAAGTTATTTTGAAAGTTTTAATTTTAAAGAGGACTAATAGCATGAAGCTTTTGGAGTTGTGAAATACTCATTTTTATTTAAATTAAATTGAATTGACATATTTCTTTTAAAAAAAAGATGCCTAAATACGTGTGGTACACTTCAGTGTACATAAACGAAATTTCGGTGTTTTAGCTCTGCTAAATACCAAATATGGTTAAATTGAGCAACAAATAAACAAATTTTGAAGTTTTTAAAACAATCTGAACTCGATGAAAGTGTCAGTATAATGAAATTTCAAATGAAATACAAAAGAGCAAAATGAATTCAACCAAAGTATCTTTATAATAATTATTAGAGACATTCTGTGTAATTCCCTTTCCAAGTCAACCTATTACTTAAGTTTTACGACATTTAAAATGTTTAAATCGATTGAGGAGAGGCAATTTACTAAGCCGATTTACAGAATGCTGATCGAATTTATCGGAATTGCTCTCAAAATGATCCAATAATGACCCATTTTTAAAGTGGTCACCTAACCGATAAAATTTCTTCAAATTTTGAATTGTTTATAACAAATGGCAGGCATTTTGATAGTTATCATTAGCCCTTTAGTTGACTTCGGGCTTCACAGAGGGGAGAAGGAACATCAAAGTGAGAAGAATTCAGGAGGGGGAATAGAAGGGTGTTTCAAGGATGTAAAAGAAACAGACATAAAGGCCCAGAAAGGGTAAGATGGGTAGTGATAGGGGTCGAATATGACACACAGTGGAGGTAATGGTTGTTAGAAGTGAGAAGTCAATTGCCGATTAATAGACTTTTTGCCGCATGAGTATACGTTGCCCAAGTTGCTCCACTTGGAGGTAAGTCTATCGCACACCCCAATTTTGAATTAATACTGTGCTTAAAGACAGCACTGTGTCAAAACATTCTATTAAGGTAAGTTTTTCAAATCGATTCAAAAAGATCGGCAAAATTCCAGCTTCTCCCAAGATGGTGTAGGACACTTCTCCTTTAGATGAGTTGAAGAAGAGAGCAGTGTTTTCAAAGAGTACGTGTAACTAATTGAATTTAAAAAAGTTCATCGGTAATGAGAAATAAAAAAGGATAATTGATTGATAAAATATATCGCAAGAAAGTTATAATATGACAATTTTCTTGGAG